CCGTGCCCAGTAAGCGTTCTTGCGCACTTTGTCGAGCGTCTTAGTAACTCCGACGTGCGCGGCAAGTACATCCTTATGACAGTGATGCAGTACGGTCGATATGAAAGGCAGGGGAATCACATGTACTTCAAGAGTAGACGCGGGCCGGCGCGAGCTTTCAAGTGCACGCGACGCATGAGCACACCGCTCTTTACCGAGTAGTTAGGGGCCATCAGCAGGATCTTAGTGCGCATCTGAGGGTCCAGAGCTAGAGCTCCATCACTTAAGAACGCTATCATAGCCTGGATCCAAGGTGGCCACTTTTGTTCTTCCACGAAGCGAGTCTGTTGTAACCCGAACACATCAACTGGGGACACCAAGAGTTGGTCAGTAACTTCTTCTTCGTCGGGAGACGCTACGGGACCAGAGTCGTCCGCGTTCTCTGACAAGGGTTCCGTAGGGAGCAGGGTCGAGTCGAGAGGCGCAGTCTCCCCGACTTCGACAGTACTAGGGGGGGCTCGTCAGCATCGTTTAGTAGCTCCGCCATAGAGATGGCATTGATGGTTTGGGTGTGCAGTCTGGACAGACCATCCACATGACCCATAGAAGTACTGAGCTTGTGGAACACCTTCAAGCGTAACTGAGACAACTCCATGGCCCACCTAGCCAGCTTATCGCTACTTGTGCGGTTAGTCTCGTTGAAGACCCACGTCAATGCTTTGTGATCCGTGTACAGGTCGAGCTCGCAGCGATCCAGGTAGCAGCGGAGCTTGCGCGTGGCCCATACAATGTCCCAACACTCGATCTCCGAAGTACCGTCCTCCTTATGGACCCAGTTCTTCTCAGAGCCTACTAGTAGTTGCTCGCATAGGCTACGACTCTCTCGCGCCCATCCACGGTTTGCATCAAGCACGCTCCCACAGCGAGTTTAGATGAGTCCACGTATAGATGGAGACGCTTGAAAAGTCGGGATACTCGAGGATAGGAGGTTCCACCAGCTACGCTTTAGTTGCAGAAAGCGGCTTCGCAGTCGTCGCTCCAAAAGAATCGGCTCC